GTTTCCTTTTAGAAGAGGTTCTAAGTGAGAGGATGGTTAGAAACCCTAAACCCTAAACCCTAAACCCTAAACCCTAAAATGGTTAGCAGGGGTTGCTAAGGTTGCCACTGGGTGTTATTGGCTTTCATGGGGTTGCGGAAGGGCCCATAAGGGTTAGGGCTTGGGGTTTCCCTAAACCCTAAACCCCAAACCCCAAACCCTAAACCCCAAACCCCAAACCCTAAACCCTAAGCCCTAAACCGTTTAGGGTTTAGGATTTAGGGTTAGGGCTTCATAGGGGTTCAGGCTTTTGGTGTTTCGGGCTGCTGAGTGCGCTTAGGCTTGTTGGGGCTTGGGTGTCTTGCTCGTAGGGTTTAGGGTTTAGGGGTTAGGCTCGTGGAGCTTTGATCCAACTGTACAATGATCACAGTATGTCCCGATGTAGGGCTCCACATAGTGATGTTTCTTGTGCACATTTCTAAACCCTAAACCCTAAACCCTGTTGGGTACCTTATTGCAGAGAAAGCCAGGGATGACCCCTACAATTACCTCTTCACCTTGGGGACCAAGTGACCCTTAAAAATAGGGCCCTGCAGGGTTTAGGGTTTAGGATTTAGGGTTTAGGGTTTAGGGTTATACATACATCCCTATATGTTATATGAACCTTAAACCCGTTTCAGGGCTCTTTTGGTCCTAAAGGCAGCTACTACACTGCAAACCTTTTGCCTTGCCCTTGAAGCGGAACCTCGGGACCTTTTTGAACAATGAGAGCCCAACACACGTGAAGGCATATAGCTTCAATCATATTAATAGTAAGCCCCGTATAGTTTCATGGCCGGAAAGACCTACCCTTGTTAAGTTTCCTTGCTGTGCTTTCTATGTATAGTTCCTATAAAAAAAGGAGGGTCTTGTCGGTTACAGGTGTTCCAACCCTAAACCCTAAACCCTGAATCCCTAAACCTTAAACCCTATCTTTAGAACGGCAAGTTGACGCCACGAAGGTAGCGCTGATGCGTCAGGGCGCGCGGGGCTCAGTCTTTGTTGGCGGCTTCGGGCTTTTTGTTTAGGTAGAAGTTCAGGGGGTGGGGTTTAGGGTCTAGGGTTTAGGGTTTAGGGTCTAGGGTCTAGGGTTTAAGGTGTAGGGTTTGGGGTTTAGGGGTTTAGGGTATAGGGGTTTGGGTTTAGGGGTTTAGGGTTTAGTGTTTAGGGTTTAGGGTTTAGGGTTTGCCTTAATACTTGGAAGAGTTTACGGCTTC